ACACTTATTCACATATTACGGCTTCCCGGTCAATTGCGTAAACTGCAACGTGGAGAATCCTCTCCGAACTTTGAAATATAGATGTTAACCTTACGAAAGTCGCTAAATCACTAGCCCCGCTGGAATCTTTTTTGTTTATGCATTTTGAAAAGCCGGTCTGTCGTCAAGTAGGCGCTGTGGGCGGGGATTAACATTCTCAGAAACAAGGTCTAGGTAGACTGGATTTACTTAGGTAACCGACGCGAAAATAGAATTATTTGATACAAAATAGAATTATTGGTTTGGAGATATACTTCTCCAACAATGAGTGTACTCGAAGCATTGCGCAACAGAGGGAATGAATACCGCTGGGCGGCCCTGCTATTGTTTGATGTTAAGAATGCATTCAATAATGAAACCTCGTAAAAACAAAAAATTTTGTCCAGAATGTCAATATTTTTTGGCTCAAATTTGTTGTTTTGCTCTGTTTAATAGAAAATTAATAAACCATTTATATATTCTTTTAATTTTATACGTAAAAATTCTAAAGCGGTATCACCGATCAATGCTGAAAAACAACGTAAAATAAATGAACTTGGTGGGTTAAGAAAGACGAAAAAACTAGGTAAGTAGCAGTGGTAAACATTTTTAAATAAATGACTGTAATTCTCTGTAAAATGTAATTCTTGAGTGAATTACATTGCCACTAGAAAAAAATTAATATGGGGATTAAGCTGAAAGAAATATTAAATTCCAGATTGGATGTACATAACAACCCACGCCTGAAACTCAAGCAATACAATTATTACACTTTTTATTCAATTTGGGATTTCTCGAGGCCAAGCTTGTTATTTTTTCTATTTATACAGAATTTTGTGTTTTCTTTGTCTGAGATGCGGTCGAAAACGTCCTCCAAAAAGGGACCATTCGAACTTCTCAATAAAATGGCTGAAATCAAGTATTCCAAAGATAAATAAAAAATATTCGGCTAAATTAGGACTCTCAGTGAATTGCTCTCAAAACTTTTTGTATATTAAAGAGCGTCGATCAATCTCTCGACTGGAGTATTTGGTCGTTTAGTTTCAGAGCTTTTGGTTTTATTGATTGCTTACTTTCAGAATAAAAATGATTGGGCTTTCGGACCATTTATGTCACTCATAACGTTTATTTACCTAAATTAATAATCCATTATTATAATTAATAATTTATTGAAAATAATCTTTGGTTGAGTTGACTGTCAGTTAATCCAACAAGTTATTTTGTATGTTTTTGGCTACCGTTAATTTAGTCCATTTCAATAAATAAACGGCTATCGTTAATTTGCAGTTAAATATTGATTTATTATTCCATATTTTTAATTTCTGAAATATCCAACTGTCAAAAGCGATAAAGCTAATTAAAGGTCGCAGACAAATAGGTCAGAGATTTTGAATACATTATAGCTCAGGGAAATAAGCTCTTATTTCATGACACTCGTCTGGTAAGCAACCGACAGTTGTTTTGAGTAGTATGTACCTCTATACCAAGAACCTATCAGCAAAAAGTAAAGCGTTTGAAACAAATTTGAAAAAAGCAAAAAGTTATAAGCCATATAAAAACCTTCAAAGTGGCGTTTTCTAGACGTCTTTTTTTATAAATTTTAACTTCTAACCTTTATATTACACACAATGTTGGGTATTATAGTGGTGCTTAAAATAATATCAAAATTTCAAGTCGATCGGTAGAGTTTAAAAGTTATTTAATTCGTTTATCAAAATTAAATACCGTAAAACGGGGATACTTTGCACTTAGCTGGGTAACTTTGCACCAAAAGTGTAAAAGTATATTTTCTGTAAACCTATGCTCAATTTTGATTATATATTTAATTATAATTCCTTTAGAGCACATAGAAAACATCGCAATAAGTGAGTAAGACGCGAGCGATTGTCTCTGCGCGAGTTATCTATCAGCAACGGTTAGAATTAACCTCGAAAATCTATTATTTTCTAACTTTGCAAAATCATACTGTGCAGACAATTCCAGCGGACACAAATTGGTAAATTGGTAAAAACATTGTTTACATGTGCACTTAACACGTGAAATTGGGTATACTTTGCACTGCCAATTTGCAAGTGGTGCAAAGTATCACCAAGAGTAAAAGGTTAATAGTAAAATGGTTTTTAGGAAATGCCCAGACGTTATAAAAGGAAACTGGGATCTCGCAAATATGCAGACTACTCAGAAGAAGATTTAAAAGCATGTCTGTCAGCAATAAAAGATGGCATGAGTACAAGAGTTGCCGCTGAATCTCTTAATATTCCAAGGAGAACTATTTTTCACAAATTAAAAGGAGCACACGCTGGAAAACCTGGATACCCATCAATATTCTCTTATGAAGAGGAAAGGTGCTTCGTACAATGTGCAGTCATAGCCTTAGTGATGCTAGATTTCCTGTTACTGGAATGGCATTACGACAAATAACCAAGACTCATTTAAATCGCCAAGGAAAAAAATAACTCGCTTTAAGGATAATACTCTTGGTATGGATTGGGTCAAAGCATTTTCAAGTTGTCATATGGACCTTACTGCAAGGATAGCCTCAAACATAAAAAGAAATAGAGCAGCACTCAATGCAGACCAAATGGCTGAATACATACAAAATTTAAAACCAACATTAACTGGTGTGGAGTCACATGCTATTTTCAATTATGACGAGACGAACTTAACAGATGATCCCGGATAAAAAAGTATTAACTAAACGTGGGGTTAAATATCCTGAATAAATTTGTAACTTTTCAAAAAGTAGCATTTCTCTTATGATGTGTGGAAATGCAGCTGGTGAGCTACTACCTTCTTATGTGGTATACAAATCCAAGCACTTGTGGGACACCTGGACTGTAAATGACCCTTCTGGTACACGTTATGCAAATACTGCATCTGGTTGCTTCGAATCAAAAACATTTGCAAATTGGTTTAACACTATTCTATTGCACTGGCTTAAAAAAATTCAAGGAAAGAAGGTCGTTTTAGGAGACAATTTGTCTTCTAATATTAATGTTGAAGTCCTTAATTTGTGTCGAAAACACGACATTCATTTTATAGGTTTGCCTCCGAATAGCACCCATGTTACACAACCGCTAGATGTTGCATTATTTGCCCTAACGAAAAAGGCCTAGAGGGAAATTTTATCTGAATATAAGGAAACTCGTGTGGGGACTAGATCAAATGTTCTTGAGAAACAGCATTTTCCAACGCTTTTACAATCATTAATGAAAAAAATACAAAAGAATAGCGATGAGATAATAAAGCTGAGATTTAGGAAATGTTGTATCGTTTTTTGTGAAATAACAACGCTCTTGGAGCGGTTAAAAACAACTCAGCAATCTAGTGTGATAACTGATAGTCAAACAACAAATAATAATAAATCAAGTTCGTCTGATATCGAAAACACTTTCATTCGATATTTAGAAGATAAAAGAAAGGAAGCCACCCAGTTTAAGACATGTGGAAAGAAAAAGAAAATAAATGTTCCAGCAGAACAAAGTACTGCCCATTCTGAAATAAGTTTAGAAGATCTAACTGATGCATCTACTTCCACACGTCATCAAGCTGTTGAGCCAGAAGTCGTAGATAATTCAGAGAACGATATTGCTTTGGACGACTACTTTCCACTAGGCAGGGATTTATCAGATGATGAAATAAATGAGCTGCAAGAGATAGAATAAGAAATTTCAATTTTCTGCTCATAAACAATAAGAATAACTTTTAAACCATTAACTGCAAAAAACTGATTTTTTAATATTTTGACAGCCTGAATTTTTTTACAAATTTAAAATAAAAATAATTGACTTAGAACATTTTGGGACGAAGTTAGTGCCTTTTTTATAAATTGATAACAGCTTTGTTTATAACAATTAAGAGACCTTATTAGGTCATCTGAAAGAACATACTTTAAGGTTTTATTGTGAAAAATTAGAAAAATATTGCATTTTAATGGAATCGTTCACAAAGCTTCAAAATTGTGGTCTCAAAATTGTTCGCCTTTGAAACTAGTGAGAGCGGTGGAGGAGGAAGGAGCTGTTAACTGTATCACTGTTTCTTGTTTCTAGATTTCGACGTTTCTTTTTTAAATTTGTATGTACCTTTTGCGTACATTACGAATATGTATTAGACGTACATTGTCATGGTTGTTGTTCAATTTTTTCACATGAGAAAAATCATGTCATTTTTTCACTGTATTACTAACTACCATTCTACCACAATTTAACAACTATTTCCCACCCTTCAATCCTTCCTGCTTACATTTTAACCCCACTCCATTACAAATACAAACAGTTTTAAGATAGCAAAGAAGAAAGACTCTCTCTTGCCTGTTACCTATCGCTTGGTACAGACGTATCTCCCCTGTCTGTGGACTGTCGTTGAGGACTGTCTCTCTTTGCTTATCGGGAAGAACAATCGTTCTCTTGGCTGTTTTATATCGATAAAGAGACACTCTCTACTGTTGACTGCCGCTAAATAATTATCTCTTTCACGCTTTTAGTTACGCGAAAAATATCGCAAATACTATTTTAAATTGTGTACACATACAAAGTGTGATCTAAATCGTGATCTCAGTGTTAGTACGTGTTCAGAAACCAGTGCCTGGGCAGATTTCGCGTATGAAGAATAACCGCGAGTGAAAGCCGGGAAAACCACGAGAGTGTGGAGCAGAACTATTGGTAAGACTTTGTATAAACTTAATTTGCTATTGTCTGTATACCCTATACTACATATCCTAATTTATTTGAACCAGCCCTATATAATACAGTCCACATACACTGAAATTATACTCATAATTTCCCACACATGTACACCTTTTTGTACAGTTGTTGATTTCAATATTTATTAGTTTATAATGACCAGTTAAATATATTTTTCTTGTCATATTTTCATAGCTTTGAAAAGTCTTTTAAATACCACCCTGGATCTATCCACATCGAAACAAAACCTTTCAGAAGTATAAGATTTTAGCAGTAGATTTAATTAATTGAAATATTTACCTGTAATTTGTTAATTATATCTCTAAACTCCTCTCTCACTGATTGTTGGTCTGTAAAATGCATTACCGATTCAAACTCCCTTTTAGTTAACCCGCTAGAGCCTTGATAAAGCATAGCCAAAATAATTCTTAGACTAATTGGAGACACCAACAAGTTTTTATAGGTAGGAGAATATTCCTGAAAAAAAAATATATAATTAGATCTATTGATTAGATATATTGTCCTGAAGCTATTTTCTTGTGGCATTTTAAAGTATTACTATTTAACTGGGAATAAGCCACAATTAAAGATAAAAATACGTTTATTGACGTTTCAATTTCCACTTCGGAAATCGTTCTCAAAATACAAACATTAGTAAATTTAACAAATTTTGTTTTTTTGTTATTTAATTATATCTGACTTTATTTATATTGACAATAATTCAGACACACATTATACATTTTAAAGTATATATGTATATATATATATATATATATATATATATATATATATATAAGAGTAAGAAAAAAGATATATATATATATATATATATATATATATATATATATATATATAATATATATATAATATATATATATATATATATAGTTCAGGTTGTTTACAACTGTCGTTGTTTTCCTGTCCCTAGTTTCCATTGTTTTCTATCTCGGGTGTCGGCTTCATTTAGCTGTCTTCCTTCCATGGCTTCATTCACGTCATCTCGCCAGCTTCTTCTTGTACGCCCTCTTTTCCTTCTTTCGGTTGGGATCCATTTCAATATTTACTTTGGCCACCTCTCGTCTGCCATTCTGTTTACATGACCGAACCAAGTTAGTTGTTTTTTCTGGACTTCATCTATAATGTCTTTTTCTGGCTCCATTCTACGTTTTATTTCTTCATTGCGGATTCTGTCCATCCTTGTCAATCTACAGCTTCTTCTCATAAAATCCATCTCGGTAGCTTGTAATTTTTTCCTGTTTCTTTTACTAGTGTCCCATATCTCTGCTCCGTATGTTACCACCGGCTCAACCATCGTCTTATATATTCGTTTTTTCGTCGTTCTTGTGATTTTTTTATCCCAGAGAATGGAGTTTAGGCATTTGGTAATGTTTCTGCCTTTGTTTATTCTTGTATTTATTTCTTCATGGCTATTTCCGTCTTTTGTAAACACTACTCCTAGGTATTTGACTCTATTTGTTCCTTGATTTTGTCACTCTCCAATGTCAGGTCTTCGACTGTATTTTTCCCCACTGAGAGATATTCGCATTTTTGTAAGTTCATTGTCAGTCCACATTCTTCGTACGCTGTTTGTAGTTTCCTAACCATATAGCTGAGATCGTCTATATCTTCTGCTACCACCAGTTGGTCATCAGCGAAGAATAGTGTATAGAGAATATCCTCATCTATTTGTATTCCCATATTTCTGCCTTGTCTTTGCCACTTTTGTAGAGATCGATCCAGATATATTTTAAACAGCGTAGGTGATAAACAACATCCCTATCGTAGCCCTTTCGTAGTGTTGAATTTCTCACTAAGTTTGCCACCTATTTTAATTAATGCGGTGTTGTTTACATACCACTTTTGAGTTGCTATTATTAACGAAGGTTTTATTTCCATGTTTTGCATTTCACTCCATAAATTATTTATCGGCACGTTATCATATCCCTTTTCAAGATCTATCAGGGCTATATGTGTTTCTTTGTTTCTTTGTTGTCGTTTTTCGATTAATATTTTAAGTGTAAATAGATTATCTATACATCTTCTATGAGGTTTCTAAGTATTCGGGAGTACAGTCGTCCTATAGTGGGGATGACAGCAATTCCTCTATAGTTTCTGACATTGTTTCGTACTCCTTTTTTGTATATTGGGGTTATATAGGCCTCACGCCATTCTAACGGGGTCTCTTCTCCATTCAGGCATCGTTGGAACAGATCTTTGAGCATTTCCCACAGTTTAGCTGAGCCGTATTTAATAAATTCTGGTGAGATGTTTCCTGGGCCTGGCGCTTTTTTAAGTTTAAAAGATCTTATCGCTTCTACGATATTTGTCATGTCCAATTCAATGAATTCTGATCGTATGTCTCTGTTTGCATTTTCGTATTGAAAATTTTGTCGTCCTTCTTGTAGTAGCTGTTTAAAGTAGTCTACCCAGTCTTTTTCTGTTATGTTACTTAAATCTAATTTATTGTTGGTTGACGTTTTCATAGATTTTAGCGTTCTCCAGGCTTCTGAACTTTTCGATCCTCCAATCATCTGGAGGTAAGTAAAATGATCCAAGTAAACGATTTTAAAATGATATTGCCAATATTGTTGAGTTGCGTACCTGTGACGATTTTTCTTGTAAGATTCGGTCGTTTTAATAATTCTGACGAAATTCGCTCTTGACGCTTATTGCTTTTTAGTTTTTTTTTATTATCTGAATGACTTCTCCATAACTCTTTTTGGAATACGTTATATTATTGTATTGTATACGTTATGTTAATGTATTTACAATATTATAACATTACAACATTAAGCTAATTCCTTGAATCGGAATCTAGAATATCAGCCTCAGGCAAAATGTCTTTAATCACTTGGAAGGGTATTAAACCGTGCCTGTGAAACTTTAATAACCCGTTTCTCACACGTGGTTAATAGGTTTTTTTGAAATAGCTAATTTTTAAATCTTTGGAGCACGAAGTTTTGGCAAACCATCTTTAAATGTCAAACTCCTATATACAAACTCCAACATACCAACTCGCTAGTCAGATCGCCATTTAATGCAATTTGGCTTTGCTTTTTCATATTAAAAGCGTTCAACTTTGTGCCAATTTCTTGTGCCTTTCGTTAATTATTATAAACAATATATAATTAATTTTTTGACATTACAGTAGACTCCCTCTTAACCGGTCCCGCATTAAGGTCGATTTATACATATCCGTCCCGTGTCCGTTCTGTGTCAGTGCCGGGTCCGGGTATTTTTAACGATATATTTACATACAAGCGAGTTGTGGCAGTGTTCTTACCGGTCAGAATAAGAGAGGAAAACGTTATTACATATTTTTGTGTAAAAGACAGTTGAAAATATGATAGCTTGGATAGAAAATGTCACCGTGTTGGCATTATTATTTGATGAAAATGAATTGAAAAAAAAAAAACAAACCAAAGGAGAATTCAAAATATACAGAGAACTATTGCATGACGAAAAAAAATTTCACGATTATTTAAAATGTCGCAGTACTCTTTTTTTCTTTACTACATATAAAAATCCGTAACATACTAACCGCACAACACATCCTACTTGTCTGTTTACCACAGCACTCGTGTTTAAAAAACAATAAAATTGTGTTTATACAAGTCCGTGCGCTCCGTGTCATTTCCGTGTATCGCCAGTGCCAAAAAAATATCGATTGGGATTAATTTTACGCCGGGAATGGACGTGCCCCGTCCGGGAAACGTCAATGTATAAATATACTCATAAGAGTACATTATTGTTTTTTTATGCCGGGCATGAGAATAACACGGAACGGACACGGAGCGGATATGTATAAATCGACCGTTAACCAGCCGTCGTATTACACGGCCACTTCTCCTTCCTATTGTTTTGCATACGAGACGATCATCAAGCGTTGCTTGATGATCGTCTCCCGCCTCCGGTTGTCAGTAGTGTTTTTGCTTTAGAGGAGGTTTGAATTCGTTTGAATTCGAGAAGCGTAAACGTGTGGTTGTGTCGATGAAAAAACGTCCAAACAAACAAGTGTGCTTAAAAGGATGGACAAAGGTGAATCGGTAAAGAATATTTGTTCTGAGTTGAATATGGGGAAAAGTATAGTGAATAACTGACGAAGGGATCGGCGTTGAACCGAAAATTTCTGCGCCAAAAAGTATTAGAACGCTACAAATTTCGTCCAGAAAGAATTTATAATCGTGATGAGACCAGAGTTACCACTGTCATGAAGCAAGTGAAAATTGTCTCTCTCAAAGGAAAAAACAAATCTCTCAAGCTGCTTCAGCTGAAAGGGGTAAATTGGGTAAAGAGTGACATTTGTGGGAATTGTAAGTGGTTCTGGATAAAGCCTGCCTCCCATTTATGTATTCCCAAAGATTAGAAATGTGGGAGACCTTATAGTTAACGCGCCGGTATCAAGTTTGGATTGAGAAACAAATCCGGCTGGATGATTGCAAAGTTATTTCCTCGGTACTACAACATATAGTAAAGCATACTCGCTGCTCCCTTGACGATCCCATATTATTGCTGGTTGATAATCATGAGTCCCATGTTAGTCGTCAAAGCGTAAAGTTTTGCAAAGAGTGTGGGATTGTTCTATTAAGTTTTGCACTCCATACGACTCACAGAATGCAACCCCTAGATATTGGGGTCTACGGGTCTTTTAAAAATTTTTGTAGCATCGCTTTTAATGATTGGATAGTATCAAATCCAGAAAAAATCATAACGATAAAAAATATACCAGAATTGACACACCCAGCATACGTAAGAGCTTTTACAAATGAAAATATTGTGAGTAGTTTTAAAAAGCCTGTGATGTGGCCATTTAACAGACTAGCTTTTAGCGATGACGATTTTGACCCCAGTTATGTAACAGACAAACCTTTCCATCTCGCAGTAAATCCACACAATCAAAACAATATGGTGGAAGGTGTGGTGAATCTCGAATATAATGAAATAGAACATGAAGGCAATCATAAAGAAACAGAAGATCGTGTTGAAAGAGATAAGACCGAAAATAGCAAAATAGAAGCAGATCACGAAGATCTTGCAACTGAATCAAAAAAGTAAAGAACACGATTAATATTACACATGATATAAGAACTGTGCTAACACCATTTTGCAGTAAGCATAATAGTCAAGTAAAAATCACACCAGAGTCAATTAGATCATTTCCAAAAGCCATAAGAAAAGAAAATAAAAGTAAGCGAACGCCAGGAATTTCAAGAATTTATACTGACACTCCTGAAAAAGAAAGATTGGAAAATATTGCACAAGAAATGGAAAGTAAAAAAAGAGGTATTAAGAGAAATGTGTTTAAGAATAACATACAGGCAAAAGAAAACAAACTCCCAAAAAGAAAGTAAAGATGAAGAACTGTTCTGATTCATCATCAACCGAAAATGATGTGTTATCTCTTCATGACGATTCAGGTGAAGATTTGAGTGACGAATTTGTTGAAATTAAGGAAGTTGATCAACAAGATCTTAAAA